ATAAATTATCAAGGGTTCATGAGGGAGGAGGGAGCCAGGAGGGAGGGGAAAAATGAGGACCTGATGCCAGGGGCTTAGGTGGAGCACAAATGTTTTGAGAATGATGAGGGCAATGAATGTTTAAATGTGCTTAACACAATTGATATGTATGAATTGTGATAAGAGTTGTATGAAGCCCTATTAAAATGATTTTTAAAAAAGAAAAAAATAAATAAATGAACAGGTTTACAGAAGACAGCTCATTTGAAGGCTAATCAAAATCAAGAAGAAGGGAGTGAGGTTGGGATAATTGATGACAAAACCCTTGAAGAGCAGGTTGAGGCCCAGGTTTAACATGGCACACAAGGGGGAACTGTAATTTCCCACTAACAAACGGATCCTGTGAGGAAGGCCCAGTTCCTGGGCGTTCCAGTTACATCAATATGCTGTACATGATCTGCGGTAAGACAATGACTATTTTTCTCTGAAAAGCCTCAGTTAATACTGAGAATATAAGTCCCCTGCTCTGTTTTCCTCCTCAGTCGAATTCCAACACTCTCAAAACTCTGTATAATAGAGATGGAAAGATGGGTGACTGACAAAATGGTCAGTGTAGTGAGTTACAATGAGGAGGAGACAGCATGCCTTAATGGAGGTAGGAACACTGGAGAAGAATGGCCAGAGATAAAATATGGTGGCAATGAATTTTGTATAATGGTATAATTTCAATGGAAAATAAAGTCCAAGTTTTAGGCTCGGTTGACTACAAAGGCAAAACTACTGACGTGTGTGTATGTGTGTGTGTGTATGGGGGCAGTGTGCAAATTCATATCTATAAAATGGCTCACACAGCTGTAGAAGCAGGCAAGTCCAAGTCTAGATACACTCTGAGTCTGTCAAACGTTAGACAGGAGGCTTCTCCTGACTCACATAATTACTGGGGCAGATGAACCCATAATCAGCAGGAAGAACACAGGATGGTGGCTCTTGCTGTTGGCGATCCCAAGGTCAACAGGTCAGACTTATGGCTGTAAAGTTGAATGAATACAATGCCTGCATGTCAGATGGCAGGGTGCTGAGGGCTCCTTGGATTGGAAAGCAAGCTGTTGGCTAACGCCCAAAGTATCAGAAGTTGATGAGCCAGATGCAGGTTCCAGACCCAGCAAAAAGCAAAGCAAGCTTTTCCACAGTGTCCACTTCTATTGGAAGCAAGCCACACCCTTGAGGCAATTAATTGCCTCAAGGTTGTGACCTGAGTAAGGGTATTGCATTCTTCTCTAATCTTATCCCATTATGGAGGCCTACAACTGATGGCTGTGATTGCATTGTGTTAGGTCAAGTCCTGGGGGATTACTAGGTGTTAACTGCCAAACCACTGAGAGCCCTGGTCTAGCCAAATTAACATAAAACCTTAATTATCACAACCCATAAAATGTTTATAAAATGTTTTGTAGTAATTAAAGGCATAAGGTCAGCGATTGACACTGATGTTATTATTGGAGTTCTCAGTAAAATGGTATTGTCAGTTGCCTCAAATGCTTGTGAAAACTGGACAATTAATAAGGGAAACTGCAGAGAAATTGGTCCGTTAGGATTATGACTTTAGATAAGATATTGAAAGTACCTTGGACTAACAGAAGTAAGCACATGTGTTTTGGATAAAGTCCAACCAGAATTCCCTTTAGAACCAGAAAGGAAAAACTTTGTCTCGTGTACTTTGGATATGTTATCAGTAAAGACACCACTGCCTAGAAAATGACATCATGCTTGATGGTCATTGAAAAAAAGGAAGCATTTCAAGGAGATGGATTGACACCAGGATTGCAACAATGGGCTCAAACATTCAAACTGTGAAGATGGCACAGTACTGAGCAGTGTTTCCTTCCGCTGTGTTATAGAGACACTATGAGTCAATGACACCAAATAGCAAGAGCTGGCAAGTCGACATATGGAAACAGATGAGCTCTTGATGAATCAGTAGACAAAGGAAGATAGAAGCTTGAGATTTGAAATAAAGGTTCTTCATGGGTTTATAAAATACAGGGGAATTCAGGAGGACATGTAGGGAAAGAATCAGATAGTACAGAGAAATAGCAGAGCTTGTACATGCTATTATTTACTTGCTATGATGTACAATTCGATGCAGGGGAAAGCTATTTTGAGCATTTTAGAGAAAATTATTTCCTCTAAAAATTACAGGGAAGGTCACATCATTCTGAAGTGTCATCTGCTGCAGCATTTACTACAAGGAAGGGAACAGAGAGCATATTAAGTAAGAAAAAAAACAGCACACACATACATAAATATATCATACGTTAAAATGGGGTGGGAGTGTTTCTCATACAATGGACCTGTGCTATCTTGTTGGTTGCATGAACAAACGATGCATCCTTATGTAGCTGACAGTGTAGGACTTCTCCCAGCTTCTCCCAGGATTTCCTGAAGATGCTAGTGATCCTCTGGAACTCACTTGGAGTATATGTCATGGTTTCCTAGTTCCTATACTTTTTCTACGAGAACAGCACATATGCTGTCATTTCATGAAATCACTATTTTGACCAAGGAAGCAAACAATTGAAGATATTGTGATGAGAGAGATTTAATCAAAGGATTGGTATGAGCATAGTTAGAAATAGGAGAGCCAGCATCAGAGAATATCACTAACGATATTGGGAAGCAAGCAATTTCAGGTATCCAAGAATACCAAACTAGAGCAGTTAAGAAAACCAAATGAGCAGATGATCCTTAAGAGAAGGTACAGAGACCCCAGCAAACCTCATAAGTACTAGATGTGTGAAGACTAAACGCCTTTGAGTCTTCCTGCTAGTACCTTGGTATAAAAAGTGTAACAGTGGCTTTCTCTTCTGTACCTCCCATATCTAGAAGAATGCCTCTGATTGACAGAATTGAGTCTGGCTAGTAAAAGTACCTGTACAAAGTAGTTACAGCCTCTGGTAAAGCGATACTGGAAAGATAATTTTCAATACTAACAGATCACACCTTGCCCAGGAGTGTCAATGAAATGTCTCTTAGTGTTGGACATCTAGGCCTTCTTTAAGTCCCCTTGCCCTCTTTTCCCGAGATGGAGACCCACTACCTTCTCCTTAGATCAGGGTTTTGAAAAACCACAAAAGGTCTTAGACTGGTGTCTAAGATGCATGGCAGTAGTAACTGTTTCCTTAGTTTTTCATCCTATGCTTTCTTCAGGTGTTTCTTCTAATCCATCCCTCCTTGCTGAAAATGATGACGTGGAATTTTCTATGGGGATAATTAGAAAGAAGGGTATGGAAACTAGCGTGCAGATTAGAGCTAGAGTATGTGACTCACCGTGACTTCACATGAATAGATGACATTTAAAGCCTGGCTGTTGATCTGAAAGCACACACCAACTTCATGAGCACTCTCAGATTTTCAAACTTGATAACTATTTGTCCACCTTTCTGGTTTGGGAGAAGATTATAGCAACATGTAAAGAAGCAAATTAATGAGATAAGAAGAAGGGGGGCAGGAGGGAGGAGTAGGACTATTAGAGTGTGGGAAACAGGAAGATTTCTCTCAAGTTGTCTCCCCCAAATATAAGCCAAACTTAGCTGCTTGCTACACATGGACTACACTTGGAGGTCAAGAGAAGTAGGTCAGGGGTTATTCTCCCCTGACATATGGTGCCCAATGTGGAGCTTGAACCCATGACTCTGAGATTAAGAGTCTCATGCTCTACCGACTGAGCTAGCCAGGCCTGTGATGATTTGTTAGGGGCTCTCTCCCCTGACACTAGAGGTTGGATATACATAGCCACTGCTTAGCACTCCCAGCCTGATTTGAGTAGGAAGAAGAGACCACTTGTTACATGAAAGACTTTCAATGATTTACCTCTGCTTCACATTATTGTAAAGGCATATGTTTCAGTATAGCTCAATTGATGGCAAATACTGGCTGATATTGGGGGGTGAAATGATGATTTGTATAGATAATCCTTTTTATTACCCTCAGTTAGTAAAAATTACTATTGCTGCTAAATCCCCATTAAGTCTCATGAGGATGGCACCAACTACAACGTTTTTTGTTTGTTTGTTTTCCTTATTGTTTATCTCCTATGAAAGTAATTATAAGTACTGTGTCTGGCCCTTAGCAAGCATCATACACATAATTGTGGAATGGATGAATGAATGTGAAGTTGGTAAATTATATCACTCTCCATTGACCCACCTGTTTTGGGTCTGTGTGCATGATTTCATAGTAAATATTAATATTTTTGATCAATATCGTGTGTGAATTTTGTGTGAAAATTTTATGAATTTTCTGGGTGTGTTTATGGTATGAAGATAAATTCAGTCAACCATTTTTTAGCATAATTTTTAAGTGAGCAAACATTTTCCTACCTTATGTTTAGAAAAAAGGATGGATCAGCAGTATCGTGTAAAGACAAATACTTCATAAATGAAAAGACAAAAGCTAAACATATATGGTATTCTTTCTAATTGTGTGTCACCAAGTGAAATCTCATCTCTTGCATTGTGGTTATGGAATTAAAATTTTATCAACTGAAATTGACATTAATTACTTTTGTGCTGCTTGACATATGCAGAAACATTATTTCTACAACTATTCCACCAAAGTCACTTAGGCAATTATCTCTGCTGTGATCATCGCCATCATCATCATAATTATTGCTATTAAGTCTCTCCTGTTCTCTGTTCATCTCAGCTGGACTGTGCATACCATGCCTCTCTTTCTGCCCCTATCTCTTCTGCAGGAAGTCCCATTCTCCCGCGTGTGGTGCAGTAACCGGCAGCCCCTACACTGTGCCTTCTCCCTCGAGCGCTACACGCCCACCACTACCCAGCTGTCCTGCAAAATTTGCATCCGGCAGCTCAAAGGCCATGAACAGATCCTCCAAGTGCAGACATCAATCCTAGAGGTGAGCCTTTGGTCTACAATGTATTTGACTCTTTCTGAAGGACAATACTAATAGCAATGCTATCTAGCCTTGCTATACAGGTTAAAAAGTAGCTTCAAGCTGGGCAAAAAAGGTAAAGGCATCAAGGAGACATACTATTACATATATAATCCTACCATAACAGCAACAACAATCATCTCAGAGTGGGTACACAGGCCGGAACACAAACTGAACAGATGTGGAAAGATTAATGAGACCGTAGCTACATATACTGGAAATATATCTATAGATATCATGGGTGACACAGTGGAAACAATTGTGAAGGAAGACTTTTTAGCCATAGCCAGATAGTTCAAGAGAATGAGCAGTGGGCCTGATCTCTCAGAGCCCATCGTTTTGGGGGACATCAAGTTAAGCATAATCCACAAATGCAATGCCCTGCATCCTATTTTGGTGAATAGCAAGCAATGGGGTCTTAAACGCTTGTGAGTAGCCATATAAGGTGTAACTATTGTCTCACCCCATTCAGAGCAAAGAAAAATGATGAACATCAAAGATTCGTGGAAAAAAATTAATGGACCACACACACCTCAGCCTCTAAAACCTTGAGATCAAAAGAACTGGATGCCTTTCTACCACTACCATCCACACTGAAAGGGATCACATTAGAAGACCCAAAATAGAGTGGGAAAAATGTGGACTAAAACTCAAAATCATAAACTCATAGCCTCCCTGCTTAACCAGGGACTGATGGAATACCTGAGATCAGCTATCAGCCCTGGCCTTGAATTCAGCCCGGTGGCTCAACTTTCAGGCAAGGAATAAACGCATTTATACTGTGTACAATAAGGAAGTACATCCACCACAAACCATCAATCATTCCAGATGAAAAGGGAAGAGTTAAGCAGGATTAATGGAAATGGTAAACATCTGGAGGAAGTGGGATAACTGCTGCTACATCGTGAGAACTGTAATCAATGGCATGAAAGAAAATGTTAATGAATCGTTGAGTGGAAGATGAATTTGTTTTATACACTTTCACCCAAACCACAATAACTTACCCACACCACTGAGTTAATCTTGTCTCATAACAACCCTAGAGATAGAGCAGAACTTCTTTGTTTGGCTCCAAAGCTATAAATTCTAGGAAGTGCAGACAGTGTCTTCTTTCTCCATCGGAATAGTTGATGAGTTTGAACTGTCAACCTTGCAATTAGCAACCCAATCCTCAACCCACTCGTCACTCCCCTAAAAAAGTAAAAGGCAACTTTCTAGTTTAATTCAGAAAGAATAATAGTAATAATTAAGGCCCTGTCATCGAATTGATTCCAACTCTTAGTGAACTATAGAGACTTTCTGAGACCACAAATCTTAAAGTAACAGGTCATCTTTCATCTATGGAGAGGCTGGTGGGTTTGAACCACTGACCTAACCAATACCTAACCCACAGCACACCTAGGGTTCCTTAAATCACAATAAAAAGGTTAAAAAGAGAGTTTCTGGCTATTCTATTTTGACATTTTGGTTTATAAATAAGAGAAGGAACTAAATCCTAAACCATAAAGGGAATGCTAAGTGAATTCTGGCATGGTGCAAATGGTAATGTGCCCAACAACTAACCAAAGGTTGGAGGTTTGAGACAGCCCACCGGTGCCTCAGAATAAAAGTCTGGTGATTTATTTCTGAAAATTCACCTATGGACAGCCCTATGTTGCTTCAATCTAATCTGACACGTGTGTGGCTGTTGACACAGAGTCAACTCAATGGGACCTGGTTAATTGAGTTTCACCCTATACAGTGAAAGTGCACTCATCAGAGAGCTTTGATGTTGTAGTTAGTTGCCATCAAGTTGACTCAAACTCATGGAGAGCCCACGTGTGCAGTGGAATAGAATAATCCATACTCTTTTGGAAGCAGATCAACAGATCTGTCTTCTGAGGTATCACTGGTGGGTTTGAACTGCCAAACATTGGCTCGAAGCCCTGCACAAAATTGTTTGTTCTAGACGTATGCTCTTTGAATGTCCCTTTGGACAAGGAGATGCTACAGTGTCTTTTGTACACAAAACTATAGAAACTTTCACAGCCCCTAGTAAACTTGGCATATCATCTAAGATTTCCTAATGACTGAAGCTAGATGGGACAGTTGAAGTACATACTATAAAGAGCCACGAGATCATCATCAGGATGCTTTTTTAATTTTTTTTCTGATTCTGACTAGTTTTGCCCATATATGTTATTTAGTCTTGGTGCGTTGGCTCCTTGCTGTCTTATCATTTCTTGTGACCTCCAGGCTCAGGGTTCTCCACAACCACATTTCCATTAAATTACCATTACATCAATACAATAATATAAGATAGATATCAATTTCATTCCACGAGATAAGGATACAAAAGTGCAGGGAGGTGAAGGACTTTGTCTGAGATCATATTGCTATTGAAGGGCAGAATTAAAATGGAAAGCAAAGGAGAATTCACTTTGGTACTTTTCCACAAAGACACCTGTTCTCTGCCATGGTTCTGATTTGCCATAAACCATTGAATGATTTCATGGCTGTGAATTTGAGTTTATAGAGCAGACAAAAGGACAATGGCAATCTTTTCTCCCTGGTGACTTAGGGGTAGAAGGGAAAATAGCAGATAGGTAGAAAGGAGATTGTAATGTTTTTATTTAGCAATGTAGGGCTCATTCTTGGGCAGTATAGGAACAACACATTTTATCATTCACCTGAGGATCGGCATATATATACTTGTTTATATTTATATATGTATATATAATATGAGCATATATGTATATGTGTGTATATCTGTATATGTGTGTTAGATACATATATGTAGCTAGATAGATATGCATACATACACACACACAGATACACAAGAGTCACGAGTTGGCATAAATAGTTAAGTGCTAAATGACTGACCAGAAAACTTAGTGATCTAGAACTCCTGAAGTAACTCAGCCATTAAATTCCTTATGGAGTACAATTTTTTTTCTTTTTTCTTTTTCAATTTTTTTTCAAGGACAATTTATGGTTCCTTTTTATTTTATTATTTTTTAAATCATTTTATTATGGGCTGATACAACTCTTATCACAATCCATACATACATTAATGGTGTAAAGCACGTTTGTACATTCATTGTCCTCATCATTCTCAAACCCCCTGGTATCAGCTCCTCATTTTTTCCCTTCCCTTCCTGCTCCCCCATCCCTCATGAACCCTTGATAATTTATAAATTTTTATTTTATCATATCTTGCCCTGTCCAACATCTCCCTTCACCCACTTTTCTGTTGTGCACCGCTCAGGGAGGAGGTCACATGTAGATCCTTGTAATCGGTTCCCCCTTTCCAACCCACCCTCCCTCTGCCCTCCCAGTATTGCCACTCACACCACTGGTCCTGAAGGGATCATCTGCCCTGGATTCCCTGCGTTTCCAGTTCCTATCTGTACCAGTGTACATCCTCTGGTCTAGCCAGACTTGCAAGGTAGAATTGGGATCATGATAGTGGGAGGGGGCCGGGGGAGGAAGCATTTAGGAACTAGAGGAAAGTTGTGTTTCATCATTGCTACATCGTACCCTGACTGGCTTGTCTCCTCACCGAGACCCTTCTGTAAGGGGATGTCCAGTGGTCTACAAATGGGTTTGGGGTCTCCATTCTGCACCACCACCCCTCATTCACTATGATAAAATTTTTTGTTCTGATGATTCCTGATACCTGATCCCTTCGACATCTCGTGATCTCACAGGCTGGTGTGCTTCTTCCATGTGGGCTGTGTTGCTTCTGAGCTAGATGGCCGCTTGTTTACCTTCAAGCCTTTAAGACGCCAGATGCTATATCTTTTGATAGCCGGCCACCATCAGCTTTCTTCACCACATTTGCTTATTCATCCGCTTAGTCTTCCGCGGTTGTTTTGGGGAGGTGAGCATCATAGAATGCCAATTTAATAGAAGAAAGAATTCTTGCATTGATGGAGTACTTGAGTAGAGGCCCAATGTCCTTCTGCTACCTTAATACTAAACCTAATCTTACAGCTCTGCTTTTCCCCAATGCGACTTTCATGAATCTGAACTGATTCAACAGCAACTGTTGAGTCACATGTACATACATAGAACTCGGTGTCAGGATGTTTTCTTTTTAAATGACAACAACAAAATCATGAAGCCTTCTAACGTTATCATTTCTCTCCCTTCTCCTTTCAGTTCATTGTTTATGCAAATTCCTAATTTGCCATTGCTAATTCCCCAAATAGTTTTTCTGAGGAATTAGATGACTTTGCAAGTATTATGTTTCAAAATTGATATCTGTCTTAACTGGCATGTTTATACAGTATTTGCATTCATTAATGTCAATTGGCATTATGTGCTAAAATGGTTTTGATCGTGAGCTTAGATGAAGAAATGTAGGGTGGGATATTTTTAGAGCCTCCTTCTTCAATCCTCATGGCATCTTTGACGCAGTGCATTCTAATGTCAAAGAAAATGTGTGGAAAGATTTTAAAATCAAAACAAAAGAAAAATCCGAGTGCTGGTATTGAGAAGTGCCATGAACAGGCAGCACTGAAAGAGGGCTCTTTGTCTCTTTGCCTTCAGTGTATGTAACAGGACACAAACAGAATTCCACACTTTATTTCATTATTTTTTTAAACAGACCTGGATATTAGAGAACAGGTTCTGCTCATACAGGGTATTTATGTAAAGAGGAATATAATAGAGTCAATCCATCCTGGTATCATTCCTCCTTCCTTAAATAAAGTATTAAAGTACATGGATGAAAATGGGCTAATACATTCAATAGTGTTCTGGACCTGTATTCAGTCCTATTTCTAATATTTCACAAGTTTACAGTCACTTCAAAATGCCTTGAGGATGGCACCATAGATTTTCTCTGTAATGGGAATCTTATTTAAATATTCAATATTGGACTATAATATTGCAACTTGTGGGCTACTGTGTTTTCAGACACTTTATCCTGTCAAGTGTCACATTGTGTAGTCCAGGGGTCTCTAATGTTTTGTAACTATATCACTGAAAGCAGTCTAATTTGCTATTATTTTTGTCAGAATAATTACTTTAGAAAGGTATAATATTTCATGCACTATATGTGATTTCACAGTTGTCATTTAACCATCAAAACTCGGCTGATTATTAATACCATCATAATGTTGCATGATATGATATTTGCAAATAGGTCAACTATCCTGCCTAAGGTCACAGAGCTAGTATGATGGAAGCCAGAGTTCCAAATTAAGACACTGGAATTAATGTCTTGGCTATCACACTATAATGCCTCAGGATTCCTGTCAAAGTTGGTTAACTTATTATAGTCTTAACTATGTGGGTTTTGTCGATAATGTGATGTAAGTCTTCTCTCTGAGGATGCAAGCATTAGAGAGAAGCATCAAAGTATCGATCATTTTTTCTTGAAGTACCTGGAAGTATATGGAAATTGAGAAGATCTCTCTTCAAGGCTGCACAAGGATTGAATGTAATCATTTCAAATGGACTAGAAGAGCATTCATTCTAAAGATCTTCAAGAGCCAAAATAGCTTTCCATGTGTAGATGTTCCTGCAAAGGGTTCTTGATAGAATGACCACTCAAAGTCCTTTCAACCTCAGGATTGTCTGACTCCAGAGAAGGTCATATGTCTGGTGATAAATCAAGTGAATAAAAATTATCTTTTTAATGATTTTTCTTCAAGGTAATTTCTAGACATGACTCTAAATCAATCAGCAAACTAGGAATCAATTCAATTATCAATGTGTGTTTCACTTCATGGCTAATAGGTGGCTGAAGACTCATTCAGGTAGCTTTGATGAGTTAATATGAGTTTCTCTTGTTAAACTATATAATAGTAATATGGAACAAAATGTTTAGGAACTTTTTAGAGAAAACTTTGAAAATTTCCTTTTTTAAAACTTCCTTTAAAATGTAAATCTGTACTCCTAAAAAAGAAACAAAATCCCTGCACATTAAGCTCAGAATTTCTAGTGCCTACTTTAATAAGTTGTCTTAGTATCACTGGTTCACAAATGTAATGGTCAAACTGAAAGAAACATTCTCTCTCTCTCTCCCTCTCTCTCTCTCTATCTCTCCATTTAACATATCACAATATTGATTTTCTAATACCAACATCCAGGCAGTGCCCACCCTCATTGAAGGCATTTGATTCTCTATAGTTACCATCACATCCATCATGTTTCTTTATACCTCTAATGTTTAAGTGCTTTTCCAACTAAATGCCCTCTTTCAGTAGTCAAGGTAGTAATGTATCCTTCCTGTTCTTTGTGAAGGCAATCTATAGATGTAGGTTGGCTTCCCTTTCATTGAGCCAAACTAAATTTTACCATCACTATTGCCAATTGATATCATATAAAACAAGAGAATGAATGGTCTAAAAAATGTAAACTGGAACAAAACAAATTTGGTAGTACTGAAGGGTAGGAAAGACTTTCCAAGAAATTTATTTCATCATTTTTTATTAATGTAATATTATTGAAGATTTACTTTTTTTTTCTGGTGAAAGCAACCTAAATGGGAATCCTGCATGTTGTAATTTTCCCTTCAAGCAATTCTCTTATCTTCCCAAAGTGGTAGAAGTTGGGGGATAATATGTCTGTTACAGGGTAGACAGAATACTTGGAATTTCTCATTGATTTACAACTCCCTAAGCTAACCAGGTAGCAGCCACTTATCTCAGATGTGCAGAGCATGAAAATCTACTCTTCTTCTGCATATTTAATTTAAACAATCAGAAAATGTGATGTATCTACAGGATTCTTATTACCTGCCTCAGAAGTCTTTTAGAATGCATCATAAATGTTACATAAAGTGTCATCTTTATGCCTGGAAATGCTTTAAATTTGGAAACTTTATGAGTGAAATGAGTATTCACATTAAAGTGTTATAAATAGAAAATAATTCTTCTTAGAGTCAATCTCACGCAAAATTTTATTCACCTTTAAGTAAGAACACATTCTCCAGTTTTTTTTGTTTTTTCTAAAGCTGTCTTAGATGGTCTTTCTTCTGCCAACAGTAAAGACAGGGTTTAGTTGACTCTTCACAGGTTCCATGAGGGTTTTCAAGAACCAATTCTGTCTACGGTGCCCTTTTAGCAAGCCACCTTTGCTCTGGTTAATAAACTCTAGTCCTATTTTGCCATGGCAGCTACCAGATGACCTTAGGAATCACCTCTACCCCAGCCTCTTCTCAATTTTTATCATGCTCTCAGTTCAGGAATTATTCAAAGAATCTATTCTAATTTTATATACATTTTTAGCACCTAGGAGAAATTTTACATACCATGATAAAAAAATTATGTCTCTTGGAACCTTCTTTATGTAGTAAGGACACTGAGTAAGTTTGTGTTATTGCCATCTAATGTGTCATCACATAATTGTCTACTCAGAAGCAGTATCCACATATCCATCCAATTTCTGTTCATTTGAGGATGCCCAGTGCTCACACATCCTTGGAACCAACAGAAATATCTCCTCACCCGCACCCCGGCCTGAAGGCTTTCATACTTTGTTAACCACCCTATTCCATGGATTTCTTTGTATTCATCCTGAAGCAGGGTGGTATAGTGAAATGAGTACTGGTCTGGGTATTGGATATCAAAATACTCATTTCAACTGTAACACTGACAACAGGCCTTATCATACATTAATAAGAATCCCTATGTGAGCCAATTTCATCAATTAGCAAATTTCGAAAGGAAGATATGCCAAGCACGATGCTTTATATAGATGTGAGAACCTAGGATACAACCTAAGAGGGCCCACCTTAGCTGCAGAGTCTGCATTTAACTGTGCCAGTAAATATCAAGGTATGACTCATTTAAGGAAAAGAGTCCAGAAAAGACGTACAAAGATGTAAGAGAGACCGAGAATTCCAGTTCCTGAAGGGAAGAATAGTCTTAATTTGCCTCCTAACCCAAACTCAGATTTGATGCTCCAATTTCTCTTTGGATTAAATTTTTGTAGCTGTGTAACAAATTTAAAAAATTTAGCATCTTACAACGATGTCTCAAAATCTGTAGATCAGAAGTTTATACAAAGCACAGCTGGGATCTTTGTTCAGGATCTCACAAGACTGAAATCAGGTTGGTGTTGACCAAGGCACTGATCTCATTTTAAGCTCAGAGGCTTTTCCCGGTTTGATGGAGAATTCTATTCTTTATGACCATAGGCCAGATGCCTTGACGTTCTTGCTATCAGCCAGAGTTACTCTCAGTTCAGGGAAGATTCCTTCACATCCTAGCCACATGATGTAGGCACCACCACCCCCCGCCCCCCCAGCTCTAGACAAATAGAAGCATATCCTCATGATAGGAGCTGCCTCCTATTTCTTTTAAGGGATGGTCTGATAGGTCAGGCCCACCCAGGATAAGCTCTCTTTTGATTACTTCAAAATCAACTGATTAGGGTTCTTAATACCTCTTCAAAATTCCTTCTTCTCTATACAATCTTAATCATGAGTGATTCAATTTCAATGACATAGTTTCAAGGCCTTCAAGTTTTGTTAGTGTGCATAAAATTACCATCAACCCTTGCTTTTTCAATCTGATCGATTTCTGTTGGGTCTGTGTTGCATGTATGCTCTTATTGCTATGATGTGCTGAAATGGATCAACCTCTTTGGATAAGTCTTGTCTAGAAGCAAGGAGGGCAGCAGAAGCCTACAAGCCTGTGTGAGTCCACGGGCTAGTCTAAATATTTTCTCTTTCTGGTGGCTTGTTCTGTTTTATGAAAGCAATTTAATTAGGAAACAAAAGCAAAAGATGTGCTATAGAATTATGCAACTTTATACCTGAGAGGATGAAAACAAAATAAAACTTTTAGATGATCAATTTATAGGCAGGTCTTTCTTATAGCTCTCTTGCCATGTGGTTTCTTTACCAATTCCTTTGATCAAGCTCATCCATGTGTGGTCACTTCTGACTATCAGAGAAGCATTCCTTCGACTGAACAAAACAATGTGATTCTGACACTCCAGAGCTGCTTACTACTGATTGCAGATCTATCCCTGTGAGTCAAATGGGGAACATCTAAGCCTCATCTTCCCTGACAGGTCTTTGCATGTTGGCAGCTGGTGATTGTGGCTCCGGAGCATGAGAGGGTGCTGTCAATCTCTTGTCCACAATTTATTAGACAAGTGGACATTGTGTTTACTGTTTTAGAAAGGAGGGGAACTCGTCAATGAATTTTATAGTCTGTCCCCACAGGTAAGGCCTTTGTGCATACATGTTGACACAGAGTTTTTAAAGAAATGAATGTTAATCCATAATGTGTACTGTGCACTGCTCATACTTTCCTTGTTTTATTTACAGAGTGAAAGGGAAACCATCACTTTCTTTGCACAGGAGGACAGCACTTTTCCTGCACAGACTGGCCCCAAAGCCTTCAAAATTCCCTACTCCATCAGACAGCGAATTTGTGCTACATTTGATACCCCCAATGCCAAAGGCAAAGACTGGCAGATGTTAGCACAGAAAAACAGCATCAACAGGTAATTGGGTACCATGCTGACAAGAGATTTACTAAGCGAGCTTGTACAAGCATTTGGTTTCTGGGCCCTGATGAGTTCATGGATTATTTCTCTGACCACATTCATCTGAGGTCTGTCTAAGTAAACCAGAATAAAGCAAATATGACAGCAGATGGCATTTTCTGCCATCCCTCTTTGGGGAACACTGTGGAACAATCCTACTTGGGTACTATCTCTAGACCCACTAATTGGCCAGCTTAATAGAGGTTTAGACTATATCATCCTGGTTCTTCTAAGTGACAGACCATAGATAATCTTAACAAACATGCTTCAGAAAGAAGAAAATCTCTCATTCCTCCTGCCCACCCTAGGGTAACCATACATTATTTATCTTCTAATAAGGACATGCTCAGTGTGCAAAAGTAGGTCCCCTTAGAAAAAGCAAAAACACTCGAGGACAATCCCTCTTGTTCCAAAGCCACAGGGCATTAAATCAACAAAAGGACGCGGACACACCACTGATAGCTCCGCTGCTACATCGGACACTACCCATTCCTGGGCTAATATTGTAGCTGAGCTAAGAGAAGAGTAGAGAGATTCATAATGGGCTTCATTCCTTTAGGTGAGAGAAAACTAAGAATTAGGGATGGGATAGGCAGCTTGGGTCTCTGCTTGTGAGAGAGCTAGCGGGAAGAAAGCATTAACAAATAAAATTTCCTCTTCTCAGTTATTCTGCCCCTCCAAATTCCCACAATGCCTGGAAAAGATAAAGATGGTTGCTAGATCATTTTACTCCCCTTTCATTTAGTACCATTTTTGTTTTCATCTTTATTTTGTGCCAAAGCCTTGTTTTCTGCTTCATGTCCACGGACACCCTACCTGACTCTCTTCTTTGAAAGGGAGAATGAATGTCTGCCAGGAAAGCCTCAAGTGCTGTTCCCCATTTCAAAGGATCCAGAATCGAAGGGCTCTTCTAGAGAGTCACCAGGCTCAGAGAGCAGAATCAGGAGAAGTGGCTGTGCTGCCAGAGAAAGCTGCACATACAGAGACAGACGGGTCCAGAAAGAATACACCCTTGAGAAAAGAGAGATTGGAAAGGAAAGCAGACAAAAGAGTGAGTGGGGGTGGGAAGAGCTGTGGGTTCTAGCTTGGAAAATTTCCAGCCTCTTTGAACAAGAATGAGCTGTCTCAATCATAACCCATATATACCAGGAGGTATCAGGTATATATATATACATCCATAAGACTTTATTTATTTATCAAATTAGGGCTCATCTGTGGGTAATTGGACATACCCTTGCAGAAGGGTCGCGGGGAGGAGATGAGTCAGTCAGGGTGCAGTGTAGCAATGATGAAACATACAATCTTCCTCTAGTTCTTGAATGCTTCCTCCTCCCCACTATCATGATTCCAATTCTACCTTATAAATCCTGCTGGACTGGAGGATGCACACTGGTACAGATAGGAACTGGAAATACAGGGAATCCAGGACAGACGAACCCGTCAGGACCAGTGGTGAGAGTGGTGATACCGCGAGAGTGGATGGAAGGTAAGGGAGAAGGGGAAACATTACAAGAATCTACATATAACCTCCTCCCTGGGGGTCGGACAGCAGAGAAGTGGGTGAGGGAGATGTTGGATGGTGTAACATATGACAAGTATATCTTTTTTTCTTAGCCTGGGGTTGGGGTGAGGGTGTTCTAACCCAAGAAACATAATTTTGTTGACACAGAGCATTGGAGAGGCACTCAGCAAACCATGTGACAGTGCTGGCTCTGTCCTCAAATACCAGTATCCCTAGACAAATCACTGGCCACACCTGTTTATTTTTCTTCAAATGAAGCTCAAGGAATTAGAACTATACACATGCATATCTGCTATCTTGCATTCAGATTCTAAAAGAATATGACTCTTTCCTCGCCGTTCAGAAAAAAAAACCTTGCCACACAATATCTACATCCACTTGGTTGCTGTTATGAATGTGTGCGTGTGGTCCTGCCTCTATTTTTAGTCTCCATTCACAGTACACACGGGGAACCAACAAGGAACGCCTCCAGAGCCTATGATTTTGGAGTCCACAGGAGGGAAAATGCCTTTCAAGCGAGGAGATGAAGTTGAAGAGGCTGTTCTGTCTGGGCCCTCCCACTAACGGGCTTCGCCAAGGCAGCTGTTCCCTCCGTGTTTGGGGTCTTGGCATTTGAGCACTTGCTGTATCTGTGTATTAGTCAGGGTACTTGAGAGAAACAAATCCACAGCACCATGTATAAGAGAGTTTTATGTAAAGAAAGTGTGCATCACGAAAACATCCCAACCCAATGCTGCCCAAGCCCACAAGTCCAACATTAACCCATCAATCCAACACCAGTCCACAAAGTCCTCCACCTCACAAAACAGAGGCAATGATGCTGACTGCAGGAGGAAAGCTGAGTCAGTGAACGAATATGCATCTCAGCACTAGCAGGGGTCTCCACACGGGTGCTCCAGCACCCAGGGCTGCATCGGGATAGGTCCATGTAGCTTCTCCTTGGGAATGTCTTGTAGGAAGTCAATCTTGCAAGCTGAAGCAGGGAACTGCTAAGGCAGCTGCACCCTGGTGCGACCATCACAAAGCAAGAGACCTGAGAACTAGAAAGGCGAGGCTCATTTATCCCTCCACCTTTCAATTAGTCCCACATGTGTTTATGGGCCAGGTTGGCACAATTAAGTAACTCAATCTGTTTATTTGCTTGTTTGGGTTTTGCTTCCCTTATGGCCTCATGCCCCAGACAACCTATATTTCATCGATAGGAGGAATTTGGATGACCTACCACAAGAAAAGATTCTAACACCGTGTCCAGGAAATGGTAGATTCTCAATGATTGTTAGTTAACCAAACTAAGACCATTGCTAGAGTCCATCTCTACTCATCTAGGACAGAGTAGAACAGTCCCCTAGGGTCACCATGGCTGTACTCTTTGTGGCGGAGCTTTGGTGGCACAGTGGTTGAAGTGCTTGCCTGCTGTCTGAAATGTCCACCGCTAATAACTACTAGCACCTCTGTGGGAGAGGAATGTGGCGGTATGCATCTATAAAGATTTGCAACCTTGGAAACCCTTGGGGACAACTCTACTCTGTCCTGTAGGATTGTTGTGAGTTGTAATCAACTTAACAGCAGTGGATAATCTTTAGAAAAGCAGACTGCCACATCAGTGCACTTAGTGGGTTTGAAATGATAACCTTGTGTTTAGCAGCTGATTGCTAGTTACTGCTCTCCTTAAAATTGTCACAGTCAATAACAAACAGGATGACCATAACGATACATCATCTGCTTCTGTCTTGATATAGTCTCTCGTTAATATATATTTACATTAGGAGGCATTTCCTAGCTTCCTCTTTCTTCTCCAGCTTTATGCACCAGACGTTTTTGAACTGTGCAATGGGAAAAATGGAAACCCGCGCTCAGCAAACCCCGTAAAGCACCAAGTCATAAACAGACAGACCTTTGCAGGTGACAGCGCTTGTGACTCTGCTGTCACTGCTCAACACCTAGGCAACTGTGCCATTGTAAGAAGGCAGCCGTTGGAAATAGGTAAACACTTAGACAAGCATGGCTTTGCTCACAAAAGACCTGCAGTGGCCCACTTTGGCCTGTGCTTCATCATTTGCAGACCCCTGGCTTAAATGATCCTGGATTAAAGGAACCTTAGTAGTGCAATGATTACGCCCTGGCTGCAGAGTGCTTAGCACTCACCCATCAGCTCTGCTGAATAAAAAGACTTGGTGCGGAGCTTCCGTGAAGATGACAGTCAAGGAAGCACTATGGGGCAGTGCTGCACCGTCCCATGGGGTCACGAGTAGTTGTCATAGACTCACAGCGCCCACCAATGACAACCTTCATGCAGCAGCACACCCCTGCATTCCTGTTGAGTCCGTCCAGATACGCTCTGGAGTTGAGCCTGTTCACAGAGCGCCTCTCCTAAACCTGGTGACAGGTTGAGGTGTTTCTGCAAGGTTCCTCACAGAGTGGTTTCAGCAAAAATGTCCACCAAAATATTTGGGAAAGACTATGCAATTAATAGGCATTTCATTAACCAATTCTTATTCCACTAGCAGAAACTATCATGCTATTTTGATATTTTCATTACCGTACCAAAAATATGTCTTCCTCTACATGGAAAAAAGCATGTTTTAGAAGATTCACAGGGCTACATCATTGCTATTTTTAATCCATCATGGTTACACATAACATAATATAGACTAAAAATTGTGCTCTGAAACATAGTAATCTAACTGTGTCAATTTTCTACTATTGTTGGACAGGAAACCTGTGCCATACCTTGGGATTCCATAAGCACTCGGGTCACAAACAGAACTAAGCTAACTAAACACACGGTCACATCTTTCTATGGAGACTTCGCCTACCTTGGTCTTGTACCATCCTCCCCTCCTCCCCATTTTCCAAAGGGTGAAAAATCCCAATCAGGAAAACAAAACCCCTACCTTTCACATTATGAAAGAAGAGTTTTCAAAGGCAGTAGAGGGATACATTGACTTTTATTTTATTTCTTGTGGGAAATATTCTCTTATTATCCTTTAGGAAATACAAATGTCATTAATGATCATCTTGCTTTTTTTTCTTTTTTGGCCTCACAATTTTCCACTTATAGGTGGATTGGAGAGAAAAGCAGGACATCTGAAGTAAAAGCCTTAGCAATCTATGACAATGTGAGAAAGGTCAGTGGTGGGTGCTAGAAGGCTAACGATGCAGGGGGCCTAACAACTTGTCTGGCATATGGATCGCACCAAATGAGCTTCATAACCTAGCAAAGAATGTCACAGATAAGAGTGGCAATTACAGATCCTGTGAGCAAGCTTTGACTACGACTCATGTTCTCGACTCATGTTCTCCACGTGCTGCCTCTCTAAAGTGAGACTGCACATCCCCTCTACACATGCAGCGGCGGTACTTCTGTACTTCAGTGCTCGGGCACTTGTGCTGGGTAGGTGGGTGGGGGTGAGAAATGAGGAATTGAACATGCAGT